TATAATTAAAATAAATGAAGTACCAATAGATGAACACCGAAAACATTAAGCCAGAGTAAAATAAGCCAACTGATTATATGATTTGTTTACATGAAATGTCCAGAATAGACAAATTCAGAGAAACATAAAGTAGATTAGTGGTTGTTAGGGGCTTGGAGAGGAGTAAATGAAGAGTTATTGCTCATTGGTACCAAGTTTCTTTTAGGGTAATAAAAATGTCCTGGAGTTAGAGTGTGGTGATGTTTGCACAACTCTATAAATATGGTTTAAAAACAAACATTGAGCTGTATTTTTAAGATTTTAAAATTTTATTTATTTTTAGAGAGAGGGAAGGGAGGGAGAAAGAAGGGGAGAGAAATATCAATAGGTTGTCTCTTGCATGTGCCCCAACCAGGGACTGGGTCCACAACCCATGTGCCCTGACTGGGAATCAAACTGGCAACCTGACACTCAACCATCTGAGCCATGCCTGTCCTGGCTGAATTGTACACTTTAGAGGGGTGGAGTTTATAAAACATGATAACTCAATAAAGTTATTTTTTACAAAGTCGAAAACACATACTTCTATTTCTTAGAGCCTTAACCCACTATTTTACTATTTATTGACTTTTTATATTGATTCTAATTATAAAAAAATAATACATCTGGATTTTTAAAAACTCTTAAATAAAGAAAAGCAGAAAAAACAATTTAAATCACCACAAATCTTAGCATTCAATTTTGAGATTTCTATTTTGTTTTCACAGGGTATTACCATAAAGGGGACCTGGCCCTGAACAAGCCTGCCTAGAGCCAGCAGGTAATGTGTGGGTTCTTGACATCGTGCAGGAAAAATGTCACAATATAAGTCCAAGTGATCTTTTAGAGGATGTTTATTAAAGCTGGGGACAGTGAAACAAGGAAGGGCCTAGACTAGAAGAGGCAACAGGTGAAGGACTATGTGGAGAAATGAACCTCACCTGGGCTGCTTTGGCTCTCTAAGAAGTCGGAGAAAAGGGGGCCTTAGGGATAGGCTCAGGGGATTAAACCATGAGGAGCTGCCACTTCCCATTGCTCCCTGGTTCTTGCAAGCCTCATGTGGTCCCTCAGAATTTAGGAGATGCATGCCTGTGGGTGAAGAAGAGGGAGAAGGTAAAGGCATGGGCGTGCTCCAGGGAGAGAGAGCACACCGGCCCCTTCATTCAGAAGGCTTTTAAAGACTGGGGGTTTAGTGGCAGTCTTGGGAGGATCTCAATAGGATATTCATCTGCTTTATGATGAAGTGCCAAATGAGACTTATTCCCCTGATTTCATCTGTCCTTGAGCGTGGTTGGCAAATGGCACAAATTAAATTTCTGCTATCTATTTTCCCGAGTAAGGTGATTTAAACTTATTTACCCTCCAGTTGGGGAAGTACAAACCATTTACTCTTGTGTCCTTTATTTAGAGAAGATAGCATTTACTAGATGGCTACAAGCTGCTTGTTTAATTGTCTGTCTCATTTTCCTTATTCTACTTGCCCCTGCTTACTGGCCTGTCTCAGTTCCAAGCTAATATTGATGATTCCCATTCATAAATTAAGCTCAAGAAAGATAATCAAGAATCTAAAGTCATCACTATTAACTGACAAACAGAACTGAATTGAGTCCTATCTGAAATTAAAGTCCATTTTCCTTCCCCTATACCATCTGAAGAAAAACAGAATACAAAGTGGCATATATAAATTTATAACACTGCAATAAATAAAAGGCCAAATGTTTGAAAATTTTTGAGGGTTGATAAGTTGTTGCTATTTGTCATTTATCTTTCCTTGTAGAACTGGTTAAATGAACAAGATACTTTGTGAACTTTTGTGTCTAAGTCACAATATGAAACTATCAACCAATGTTACTGACAGCTTAGAACAGTAACAAATGGCCAGGATATTAAGTAGCAAAGATGGGAGGGGCTCAAATTAGCAACACAAGATTTCCCACCACATCAAAGATTCAAAGCAAGTAGTTACAGGCCCTAAAACAATCCAAGAAAAGAAAGACCTATATATCAGTTAAAATGTGAAGATGCTGGGTAATACTGTGTATATATTTCAATTTAACAACTACTATTCAGTTGTTAAACAGAGACAAATTGTATACATCAATGTATAATATAAACATACAGATCCATGCAAGCTTAGTATGGGTAAAAAAGGAAAAAATGTTGGCCTTTCCTCTCAGATACTAAAAGGTAGAAAAATTAATGAACTTAGCATTACTCAATATTTTTCTGGTATAAAGATACCAAACTAGGTTATATTTGAACATCCGTTTGGCTCTACTGTTTTCTGAAACCTGGGGTATCATCAGGGCCCTATAATTAATTAATTAATTAATTAAAAGAAAAGCTCAAGCTGTGGTTGGATGGCTCAGCTGGTTAGAGCATTGTTCCATATACCAAAAGGTTGTGGGTTCAATTCCTGATCAACGCATACAACTAGGTTGCAGGTTCAATACCTGGCTAGGGCACATATGGGAGGCAAACTATCAATATTTCTGTTTCTCTCCCTCTCTCTCAAATCAATAAAAACATATCAAATACTTCCTTATTCACAACAAGGGAATTCACAGAGAACAAGGCTAGCAATGCTAATAGTTTTAAGAAGGTATCCGGGGAGACACCTAGGCCCACAGGAGCAAATCCCTGCAGTGAAAGCTCTAAGACTCTGCAGAGATCTAGGAAGAGGGAGGTGCCTGCTTTCAAATGGCTTTCATCCAGAGCAGACAGCAAAATGGAGTTCAGCTAGGTGGTTCCCTAACATTCATACTTCCAGTGAAAACAAGCTAATGACAAGCATTCCTTGGAGGTATTGTGGGTTCAGTTCCAGACCCCTGCAATAAAGCTAGTTGTAATCTTTTTACTGGTGGACAGCCTTGCCTTTAATTTGTAAAAAGTGTAGTAGTATCTGTGAAGCACAACAAAGCAAAGCACAGTAAAATGTACGTGCATTTTCCAACTCCTTTTGAGAATACGTGGGACAAATAAATTTTCAAAAAAAAAGTGTGTGGCAACCTTAAATAGGATATTATATGTCAAGAATAAGTGAGACAATATTCAAATATATTCTTCCCCCTATACTGCAGTTTGAAAAGTGTGTGCAAATTTGGGGTTTTGACAGGACTAATTAAATATTTATGAAAAATAAATATGCACCTTTGTTTGTATTCCAGGGTCGTAAGAATATGAGTGGAAAAAATATATATTCTTACAAACTGCACACACATATTAACAGTGTACATTTTTATGTATGATATGAAGAGTGAAGGCTTTACCAAATCTGAAACAGGTAATAACTGAATATGAATTGTGAATTTTTACTGTTTTATGTTTACCTTTTTTGTTACTAATACACTATTACTGGGAGGATATTTTGAATAGCATAGCAACAATAATAAATTTCTGCTATGACCATTTAAAAGCCACACTTTAATCCTAACTAACCTCCTTGTGCATTTCCAAGTGTTAATAATGGCCTTGAAATAGTCTCCTGAAAGGGAGAAAAAAAATCTACTTACTATAATCTGGGCCTCCTGCCACTAAACTATAACCAACTGATCTATCTTCACACAACAGAACGCAGTTATTAATTATATTAAAAGTTTTACGAAACTAATATAAGGAATCCCTCCTTTCTAATATCCTTCTGCATCAAATTCATCCCTACCCTCACTTCTATCCTCACTTCAATTCAGCTACCAAATTTGAAATGCGTCTTTAAACCTCCCTTTTTAAAAGTCCCTAGGGCTACCCTATAAAGTTGGTGGTTGAGGTCCAAAAATGGGTCCCTTTTAACAGTTTGGATGTTAAATGCTTAGGTACTGTAATACTCTTGAATAACTGTCCTTTGCTTAACGTTTGGTACCTTTAGTTTAAAGAATAAGTCATTATAGTAAGTTAAATAGAACTACTGTTTTCTAAACCTCGCGTACTCCACATCATCAGGGATGTAGAGTATGAATGTGCTGCCTTTAAAGAAACTGAGAGAAGGAAAAGACAAAACTCACTGACGAACTGTGGCAACATGAAAATAATCAGCTGAGCTATCCGGACCAGAAGTTTCTGTATTTCATGGTGCTTCCTCTTTAAGACTGTATATATACTTCTTAAGTCTTAGAGTTCATCCAAATTAAGGCAAGCTTCCTCTCGCATTCCCAGGATGGTTTGTTTCCCAGCCCTGCCCGCCCTCTGCCCAGGCCCCGGCAGCCATCACCGCAGACTGCAGCACCCGAGCTCCAGGCCCGCAGGCGCGAAGGCCCCCGCCCCGCTGGGCCGGCGCGGGGAGGGGGCTCCGGGCTTGGAGCCCGCCTCTGCGGCGGCCGAGCCGGGCACCGAGTGGGCGCGCCGGGCCGGAGGAGGGGCCCACGGCCGTGGCGCCGCCTGTGCCCGCCGCCCCTCCCCGAACCGCTACTTAAGCGACTCTGGCACCTCCCCCGCCTCAGTGCGTTACTTACCTCGACTCTTAGCTTGTCGGGGACAGTAACCGGGACCCGCTGTCTACTCCTGCTGCTTGCGCCTTCTAATCCGCAGCTATGGTGAGTGGGCCGCGTGCGGCGCCTCCCTCGCTGGGGATCTCGGGGGGCCTCTAACTAGAGAGGGCTGGGACCAATGCTGTCCATTTGGAGGGCAAAAAATGAAGCGAGAGCCAAGGGTGGGCACAGGTGGATTCTGGTTTGTGGGGAAAAGGTGGGGCCCGGAAAGGGGGGGCCCCGCCTCATCTTTTTAAATTCTGGTAGGGGATGGTGGCGTGTGGGTTCCCTCCACCGTAGTTAGAGCTTTTATATAGCCTTTGGTCCCAGGGTGCCGCGCGCCAAGACCCTGCAGGCTTTTCCCGCGCGTTCCCATCCCCCTTTCCTTGCCTTGCCTTTGGCGGGCGCGCGCGCGCGCGCTCTCCCCACCCTCACTTCCTCCTCGGCGCGAAAAGCAGAGGCGGGAAGGAACCTGACAAAAGCGCACGCGCGACCGTTACCTTCCCTCCCGGGAGTGGCGGGATACAACCACTGCAGTCTGCGCGTGCGCGCTAGGGCGCTGCGGGTCTGTGACTGGAGAGTGTCTCTTGTTACCTGGAGTTTCTGTTTAGAAATGAAAGCAAGATGAACATGAAGGAAAGCACCTTGTCAGTGTGCTGCACAATGCCAACGTATTAGGAAAATTACCCCCCAACAGCCCGTAGAGACCATCTGCCCCTCTGGCCTCTCTGCTATGTTAGGCATGCTTGTAAGAACAGGTGGTGGTGGTGAGGGATTTTGAGGGAAGGGAAATACGATCTTGGTCCAGATCTGTGCTGTGGATAATCCCCTGAAGTGCCTTAACAGATGTGGAGGTGCTTGGTTGAGCCCAACTCTTGCGGGGAACTTAGGATGGTTGGCCATGGCTGTGCTTCTGCCTACGTGGCTGGGGCTGTTCCGGGTCTCTGCAGCTGCGCAGTCCCGCTGGCCGCAGCGGGCGCGGTCACGCACACCCAGAATTGCTCATTCATCCTGTGCTGCAGAGCCCTGCCCCTCATGGGGTGGGGGTGGGGGGCCAGTGGCCAGACATTTCCTGTTCTCTGCTCTGGCCACGTGCTTCCTATACTGGGAGCTGCCCGGAAATCTGGCCACCTAGTCTGGAATGGTATTCTGGGGCCTGAGTGGTGGACAAATGGCCTCCTCGCTATCTTGGTCCTTCAAAGAAGGAAGCTGTAACCAAGGTCTCTCCTAGGTTTGGAAAGAGGTCTTAAATTAGAGGGAGAAAGGAAATTCATTAAAAGCAATGTAGATTAAAAAAATACAGTTGTCCCCTAGAAAAGTTCACATTTTAATTCATTTTAAAAGAGGCAATCTATAAAATTAAAAATTTCATGTGTATATTGTTCTTCATATTCATTACCAGATTGCTTTCATCCTGATTTTTTTTTTTTCCTTTTCCACAGCGTGAGTGCATCTCCATCCACGTTGGGCAGGCTGGTGTCCAGATCGGCAATGCCTGCTGGGAGCTCTACTGCCTGGAACATGGCATCCAGCCCGATGGCCAGATGCCAAGTGACAAGACCATTGGGGGGGGAGATGACTCCTTCAACACCTTCTTCAGTGAGACAGGCGCTGGCAAGCATGTGCCCAGGGCAGTGTTTGTAGACCTGGAACCCACAGTCATTGGTGAGTTGCCCTCAGTAACCCAAGTGAGATCCCAGGGGTCTGGGACAGGAGGTGTGTCCTGGGGCCTGTGTGGGTGCCCTGGGCTTGAGCGGGCTTGTGGGGGGTTGTTAGTGATGGGTGGCCACTTTGTTTCCCCCCTCCAGATGAAGTTCGCACTGGTACCTACCGCCAGCTCTTCCACCCTGAGCAGCTGATCACAGGCAAGGAAGATGCTGCCAATAACTATGCCCGTGGACACTACACCATTGGCAAGGAGATCATTGACCTCGTCCTGGACCGAATTCGGAAACTGGTAAATACTACATTTGAGTCTATATATTTAAATGAACCAATGTCACCCCAGTAAATTCAATTCTTAAAAAGATGCCAAAATATACATGAGTTAAGATAATGAATAAAATCATCAACAAGTAAATATTTAAATGGGTTGAGGGGGTTCCGTTGCAAATTAAGTGAAAGACCAAACTATAGCATTCATTCTTTGGTGCGTTTGAAATGTGGGATACTCTGCTTGCTGTGTTAATTGGAGTCCCCAAGTTATGGGACTATTTTGTCACTCTTCATGCTTATATCAATCTCGCATGTTCACAATTTAAAGAAAAAGAAATTCTGCATAAGAAAATGTATCCTGGCATTAGAGAATTACATTTTCTCTTTCCTTTCCCTACAGGCTGACCAGTGCACAGGTCTTCAGGGCTTCTTGGTTTTCCACAGCTTTGGTGGGGGAACCGGTTCTGGGTTCACCTCCCTGCTGATGGAGCGTCTGTCTGTCGATTATGGCAAGAAGTCCAAGCTGGAGTTCTCCATTTACCCAGCCCCCCAGGTTTCCACAGCTGTAGTGGAGCCCTACAACTCCATCCTCACCACCCACACCACCCTGGAGCACTCTGATTGTGCCTTCATGGTTGACAATGAGGCCATCTATGACATCTGTCGTAGAAACCTCGATATCGAGCGCCCAACCTACACTAACCTTAACCGCCTTATCAGCCAGATTGTGTCCTCCATCACTGCTTCCCTCAGGTTTGATGGAGCCCTGAATGTGGATCTGACTGAATTCCAGACCAACCTGGTGCCCTATCCCCGCATCCACTTCCCTCTGGCCACATATGCCCCTGTCATCTCTGCTGAGAAAGCCTACCATGAACAGCTTTCTGTAGCAGAGATCACCAATGCGTGCTTTGAGCCAGCAAACCAGATGGTGAAATGTGACCCTCGCCATGGTAAATACATGGCTTGCTGCCTGCTGTACCGTGGTGACGTGGTTCCCAAAGATGTCAATGCTGCCATTGCCACCATCAAGACCAAGCGCAGCATCCAGTTTGTGGACTGGTGCCCCACTGGCTTCAAAGTTGGCATTAATTACCAGCCTCCCACTGTGGTTCCTGGTGGAGACCTGGCCAAAGTACAGCGAGCTGTGTGCATGCTGAGCAACACCACAGCTATTGCTGAGGCCTGGGCTCGCCTGGACCACAAGTTTGACCTGATGTACGCCAAGCGTGCCTTTGTCCACTGGTATGTGGGTGAGGGCATGGAGGAAGGAGAGTTTTCTGAGGCCCGTGAGGACATGGCTGCCCTAGAGAAGGATTATGAGGAGGTTGGTGTGGATTCTGTTGAAGGAGAGGGTGAGGAAGAAGGAGAGGAATACTAAGTACCATTCCTTTTTGCCCTGCAACATGTCATAACTCAGAATTTAAGGTTCAGCAGCTGCTCTCTGATTAGATTTCCTTTGCTTTTACCTGTGATCATGTCTGTCTTTTTCATGTATACCTGTAACATTACTCATTTCAAAGTAAAGGCATTGAGAAAGAAAAGTTTGGCTTTAGTCTTTGTTCTACACTGATTCCTCTACACTTGGAGGATAGAGTCTCTGCAACAGGGTGGTAATATGAAGAGACCCACAGGTGTCCAGCTACTAAGGAGAAGAGGGAGCACACAGTTCTAGAAAAGTAGAGCTTGATTCTGATATACTCAGTCATTCTGCTAATCTAGTTCTTGAAATCAGATAATTACTCATGATTTAGGAATAGTAAGTACAGGTACACCTGGTCTTACTGCACTTCAGAAACATTCTTGTTTAAATTGAACACAAGACACTCCATCCAAAAGTCAACTCACTTGTGGTTGTGATCTGGAACCAAGCCCACAGTATCTAAGGTAAACCTGTAAATCATTTTGAATCTGCAAATGTGACTGCTGGTAAAGTTACATGCATTTGCTAGAGTACTTACTGCTCTACTATAGAGGGTTAAGTGGGAACATTTGTAAAGGATAAGAACTTACGTTATTCCAAGTATATAATTTGTCTACATCCAAAAGAATCTAGAGATAAACAGGATTTAACCTAGGAGAAAATGTATGCTTCAAATTCAGAAAGCACAGGGACAGTTAGGTTTTGTTGAAAATGTTGATGAAATAAACTTGTCCCACCCTGTATTAACAAAACAGTTGTTCTAGCTTCTGAAAGAAATTTGATTTGGCAGAGACATTTGAGTTCTGTTGGGGGGCGCTGCAGGCCTGGCATAGCAACACAAATGTGGCTACCATGGTACACAGAGGTAATTGCCAGTGCTTTAAATTGGATTAATAGCCAAATGGGAATTAAGGTTTTCAGTTGATGCCCAATTCCCAAAGGGAAGACAATCTTGAAAGATGTTTGAAGACTGAAATGTTCCTTTTATTTTTGCAAAACAAGAGGGTAAGCTAGCTAAGCCAGAGCCTGGAAAGCAGCAGCAGCAAACCAGTGCAGAAAATAGCTTGCTTTTCAGGCAAGCAATATTCAGTGCAGAGGGTGCCATGATGCTTTTTCGGAGTTACGAGGCACAAAGCAGGGACAGGATTAAGCCAGTGTTTCGACTGTTTTATTTTGGAGAGGGGGGACAATGCTTTTTTTTTTCCTTTTAAGAAAATTGCTTGGCTGGTGTAGCTCAGTGGATTGAGCACGGGCCTGTGAACCAAAGAATCACGGTTCGATTCCCAGTCAGGGCACATGCCTGGGTTGCAGGCCAGTTCCCAGCAGGAGACGCACAAGAGGGAACCATACATTGACATTTCTCTCCCTCTCTCCTTCCCTTCCCTTCTAAAGATAAATAAAATCTAAATAAAATAAAATTATAAAAAAAATTGGAGTAAGGCAAATGTTAAAATGACAAGCTTGGGTGTTAGGTACATAGGTGTTTGTGATCTACTATCTGTTACTACATAGCAAGTTGACCAACAATTTTGTGGCTTAAAACAGCATATGGCCCTTGCCAGGTGGTTCAGTTGGTTGGAGCATCATCCCAATACACCAAGGTTGCGGGCTTGACCCCAGTCAGGTCATGTAAAGGAGTTAACTAGTGAATGAATGGATGAATGAATGAATGGGTAGAACAAACTGATGTAGACCTCTTTCTCAAATCAATAAATAAAGATTTAAAAACTATATGTGTATTACCTCATGTAATTTCTAAGAGCCAGGAATTCAGGAGTAGCTTGGCTGGGTGGTCAGTCTTGGGGTTTACCATAAGATTGCAGTCTTCTAATGCTCGATGGGCTGGAGGATTCACTTCCAAAGTGCGTATACCTGGCAGGTTAGTGCTGGTTGTTTGCTGGCAGCCTTAGTTCTTCACTTTGACCTCTCAAAGGGATCCTTGGGTGTCCTAATGACATGGCAGCAGGCTTCCCTCAAGAGTGAGTGATCTAAGAGATGACAAGTTAGAAATCATAATGTCTTACGACATAAACTAAAAAGTTGCACTGTCATTTTACCAATATCCTTTATGTTACATCTCAGTCCTACTGTGAGAGGAAACTACAATAACAGGAGGTGAGAATCAATGGGAGTTATATAATTTTTATATTGCCTAGAACAACACGATAGTTACAATCTATTTTCTGTAGGCTTCAACTATTTCATTTTTAAAAAGGAGGGAAATCCGTAATTTAGAGAGAAAAGTTTTTCCATTTTCTACAGTTCAGACTCAAATTTCAGTATTTTAAAATATATTTTAGTGATTATGCTGCTATTACAGTTGTCCCATTTTTTCCCCCTTTGTCCCCTTCCACATGGTACCCCCCATTCCCTCCAGAATTTCCCCCTGCCCCCTTAGTCCATGTCCATGGGTCACGCATATAAATTCTTTGGCTTCTCCATTTCCTGTACTGTTCTTTTTTAGAAAAATATTTTATTTATTTATTTTTAGAGAGAGGTGAAGGGAAGGAGAAAGAATGGGAGAGAAACATCAGTGTGTGGTTGCCTCTCATGTGTCACCTGGCCTGCAACCCAGGCATGTGCCCTGACTGGGAATCAAACTGGTGACCCTTTGCTTCACAGGCCCGTGCTCAATCCACTGAGCAACACCAGCCAGGGCTCCTGTACTGTTAACATCCTCCTGTCTATTCTGTACCTACCAATTTGTACTTCTTAATCCCTGTACCTTTTCCCCCATTCTCCGTCTTCTCCCTGCAAATTCCCCCTAAATGATCTCTGTATCTATGACTCTGTTTCTGTTCTGCTTATTTACTTCGTTTTCTAGATTCAATTGTTGATAGTTGTGAATTTATTGCCATTTTAATGTTCATCATTTTGATCTTATTTTTCTTAAAAAAAGTCCCTTTAATATTCATATAATGGCGGCTTGCTTATGATTAACTCCTTTATCTTTACCTTGTCTGGAACACACTTTATCTGCCCTTCCATTCTAAATGATAGCTTTGCTGGATAGAGTAATCTAGGCTCTAAGTCCTTGATTTACATCACTTTGAATACTTCTTGACAGTCCCTTCTAGCCTGAAAAGTTTCTTTTAAGAAATCAGCTGACAGTCTTATGGGAACTTTTTTGTAGGTAACTCTCTGCTTTTCTCTTGAAGCTTTTAAGATTCTCTTTTTATCTTTAACCTTTGGCATTTAATTATGGTGTGTCTTGGTGTGGTCCTCTTTGTGTCCATCTGGTTTGGGACTCTGTGCTTCCCAGACTTGTATGTCTAGTTCCTTCAGCAAATTAGGGAAGTTTCCTTTCATTATTTTTTGAAATAGATTTCCAATTTCTTGCTCTTTCTCTTCTTCTTCCAGCACCCTTATGATTTGAATGTTGGTACATTTGAAGTTGTGCCAGAGGCTCCTTGGTCTATCCTTGGTTTTTTGGATTTTTTTTCTTCTTGCTGTTCTGACTGAATTTTTTTACTTCCTTATGTTCCAAATAATTGATTTGATTCTCAGCTTCATCTACTTCACTGTTGATTCCCTGTAAATTTTTCTTTATTTCACTTAGTGTAACCTTCACTTCTGCCTGGGTCTTCTGAGACTCTCGAAATTTCTTCACATTAACCCCTACTGGTTTTTACAGCCAAAAGTTATGGGGACTTATCTTCCTGGCATGGAACCCTGGTCTGGGTGGTCTGCTGTGGGGCTGGAATCCCTTGCTCCTGAAGTATTCCTCCCAATTTTTATCTACCAGAACTGGGTGTGGGACCACTCATTATACACCTCCATGCATCTCCACATCTCTGCCCCTCCTACCCATCTGGATGAATGTGGCTTCTTTAATTCTTTTATTGTCAGTCTTCCATACAGCTCAATTTTCTGACAATTCTGGGTGGCATCTGTCTTGTACTGTAGTTGTAATTTTTGCCATGGTTGTGTGAGGAGGCAAAGCTTGGTTAACTATGCCTCCATCTGCACTGGAAGTCTCAAATTTCAGTATTTTTATTGCCTGGTAAGCTGTCCTTTAGAATAGACACCTATCTACACTCCTGAACTATCCTATCCCCTTTATACCTTAATTATTTTGTTATTGATCCGACCTGCTTCTAAATTCAGTATTTACTTCTGTCTCCTCTGCTCACAAACATTTTTTATGTCAAGACAGTGACTAGTAGTTGACTACTAGTAATCAAAGCCAAGTGACATGAGATGCCAAGTGTGTGACATGGCAGGGATGGCCATAATGAAATGCTAAGGCACCCAGGAAATACCACCAAGCATTCCTTTAGGGGAGTACTAGGGTCTTATCATCTACATCTGTGCCCCAGCAGCAAACACAATGCCTGGTAATGCTTATGGCCCACAGATTGCTCCCATGAAAGTAAAAATAAATAATGATTATTTCCCTCTTAGGCCAGATTCTTTATTGTTCTATTCAATGTGAACATTTAACCCTAGAGCTTTGTAAAACATACTCACCCTCTTTCTAGGCCCAGGTCTCTTCAAGCACCTCCTAGAAGGTGAGTCTCAGGGTGGCAAGTCCCAGGGAACAGAGAGAGACACTTGACCTCTTGTTCTGTCACTAGTCAGGCTCTCAACCTTCTGGCCCTATTTTCCCTTTAGCACTACAGACTTCCATACTGCCTTTCTCAGAAGAGGGTGGCAAATAGGGTGATCAAATCTTGAAGGACTTGCAGGCTTAGAGATGTGGGTCTGAGCTTGGGAGGTGAGGAGCTGAGCACCTCAAGCCAGCACATTACAGTTCTGCTCAAGGGGACCCCAGAGCCATTGCCAAGGGAGAACGAGAGCCATTTATTCAGAAAAGAAAGAAACACAAGTAAAAGCCTAAGGAGGGCTTACTTAGAGATGGTGAGGATAATCATAATGATAATTAACAGCAACACCTTCAGTTTACTACCCAATCCCTTTTTTTCTTAAAGATTTTATTTATTTATCTTCAGAGGGGAAGGGAAGGAGAGAGGGAGAGAAATGTCAGTGTATGGTTGTGCGTTCCCTGCTGGGAACTGGCCTACAACCCAGGCATGTGCCCTGACTGGGAATTGAACTGCAGTTGTTTGGTTTGCAGGCCCATGCTCAGTCTACTGAGCTACACCAGCCAGGGCCCCAATCGTTTTTTTTTTTTTAAGTACCAGAATGTTTAAATACCTTCACAACCCAGCATTCTTGGCCTCATTTTTTACAGAGGGCAGATTTAATTGGGAAGGAAGAAGGAAAATGATACCACAGCCCAGTATCCTGCTTTGTATTCCACCTTAAATATTGTCTGCCACAAGATCAGAGGCAATAGGGGTCTTTCAGCCCACTGAAGGACCAGGGCTGTGATTTAGGGACATGCTCAGTTGAGGCTTGAGGGAGAAAAGAAAGAGATGCCTTTTCCCCCTCCCAATTCCATCGAATTCCTGGCAAATTCCTCAATGCCCTGCAGATGGCACCACTGACAAGGAGTTCTCTGCCCAGAAGTGCTGAGCTCAGATTTGTGAACTCTGCGCTGGCTGTCACCTGGCAGCTGAACCTAAAAGATATAGAACAAACTGGCATCCCTAGCATCCCTAGCATCCCTAGCATCCTGAACACTCACATGCTTGTCAGTTTTTGTTCTGTCCATTCCTGGAGCCAGCTAGACCCCATGCTAGGCCATTGTGAATCAGGCAGGCACAGGAAGCCCCATACCCAAGGAGCTATTGACCTCAGCTCCTCTTCTGGGTGCTTCCCAGGGTGCATGGTTATAAAAACATAGCCTTGGGGTCCACGAGGGGTAATAAAGGAGTGTGTTGCCAGATTAAACTAAACTCAATATGGATACAAAGTCAATAACCACCCAATTATGAGGACATCATCATGTAAATACTGATATCACTGTTTTGCAAGGGCCATATTTTCCTTTCCTCCATCTGGTCCATCGGCTAGAATAAATGCCCTACTCTACCCACCCCTCAACTAATGAACTCATCTCCTGACAGCCTGCTGTATGTTACTGTGTCCAACTCTGATGGAATCAACCTCATCACTTCAGTCCTGCCTGCTGGGGCCTTCAAACAGTATTTTCTCTGCTGATATGTAATACTTGTTCCATCCACAACAGACCCCATCCCCTTTGCCCAGTTAACTCACACTCTTCCTTCAATGATGAAAACCCAAGTGTCTCCTCATCAAGGATTTGAAGACTAGGTCAAACCAGCTCAGATTTTCTAGTATATATTTTTATAGAATGATCTACTTTTCTCTGAAATTATTTATTGTATTTTGGAGTTACATATTTATTTATGTGATTATTTACTTAATTAATATATTTCCACCACCAGATTTTATAAGCTCCATGCCTATTATACAGTTACCCTCCTTATCACCAGTACCTAGCTTAGTGTATAGGATGTGACTGACACCTAAGAAATATTCCAAGAATTAATTATGGGAAAGAACATAGATTCAAACTTTTAACTCTAAAAGCTAGCAAGGACTGGCTTCCCCCTTTCCCTACTTTCCCAGTCCCAAAGATCTAAGAGGAAGGCAATGACATCAAATGAAGGTGGAAAAAAACTGCTCCTCTGTTCCAAAGATTCTTCTTCAATAAGAAGAAATCCCTTAGCCTCTCTCTGGCCCAACTATAGTATCCCACATACTAATATTTAAGAACTTCTGCTGGCTCACATTGACCAGAAGAATGTGTGCCATGAGACAGGTATGACTCAGCTGCCAGGGCAGGCTGATGTCACCTTAGACATTCCTTCTCTACAACAGTGTGCAAAGCTAGGTAGGTAGGTATTCCCACCATGCTCTTCACTGATCACCCTATAACAAACTATTGTCCACTTCTGTGCACCTTAAGAAGGATATGGACAGGCAAGACAGTTTCCTCCAAGGGGTGAATGGAGTGGGTAAGTAAGGGGTCCTGGGTACAGCAACTCAGAAAACTGAGGTTTTTTAGATTAGAAAAGAGAAATCCAAGGAAGAGCTCCTATCCAGAAATGGCAGCAAACTCATTCCTCAAAACCCCAAAGGTCAGGGCAAAAGATAGGAGGAACAGTAGAGCTCACTCTCTAATAATTACCTAAGACCCACAATGGACCACTATGGCATCCACATCGTGAAAAGCAAAGAGGTAGAAGTGAAGACTTCTGAGATTCCTCCTCATTTCCAGAGTCTAGGACTTCCAAATTTTCCAGCTATGTCAAGCCAATCTTTCATTATGACTATTCTCTCAAATATTTTTTGGAGAGGTCAAGGTAGGTAGGGGCAAAGGAACAGAGTCTCTCAAAGCATGTTTCTTAAACCTTTCCCCCTAATCCTGCCAATAACAATAAAAACAAAAAGTTCTGCTAGGGAACTTTCTGTCTTAACTAAGGGGCAACTCTGGTTTCCCTAGAATCCTAGACAACAGTGAAATTCCTAAATTGTTGGCTTATTTTTAGAAATTGGTCAAGTTTCCATCAGAGACAAGGGAAAAGGTTTATAGCCTGTCTTAGTTTGGGGTGCTATAATAAAACATCATAGACTAGAAGGTTTAAACCACAAACATTTATGCCTCACACTTCTGGTAGCTGGGAAATCAAAGATCAAAGTGCTGGCAGCCTTGTGAGAGCCCTCTTCCTAGCTTTTACATGGCTCACTGCCTTCATGCTGTGTCCTCATGTGGCTGAGAGAGAAAAATTCCTAGTCTCTCTCTCATCTTATATGACATTAATCCCACAATGGGGGCTGTACCTTACGACGTCATCTAAACCTAAGTACCTCCCAAAGGCCCACCATCACATTTGGGGCTGGGTATTAACATGTGAATTTAGGTTTGGGGGGACACAAACACTTTGCCCATAGTACAACATTTAGTATTTTCACCTTAGAACTGGATGGGTTATTTCAGAAGACCCAGAAAGCCCTGGGAATAAAACCACCCTAAAGCTTCTAGTCTTAGAGTGAGCAGGAATTTTTCTGTACTTTTCTTTATGTTTTCTGTGGGAAAATTGAGACATGCACATAAGATAGGTAATTCCCATGTAAACTAAAATAACCCATAATCTGACTGCTAAAAATTTTGTTTTTTAAAAAAAGGGTAACTCTTGAGTGCCTTCTATATAAGATGGCAGCATAGGTAAACATGACTTGCCTCCTTGAATAACCACATCAGATTTATAACTAAAATATAGAACAACCATCAGATATCGAATGGAAGTCTTACAACTATGGAATTAAACAAACCACATCTAGCTCTGGCTGGTGTGGCTCAGTGGATTGAGCGCGGGCCTATGAACCAAAGGGTCCTGGTTCAATTCCCAGTCAGCACACATGACTGGGTTGCCGGCCAGGTCCCCAGTAGGGGGCGTGCAAGAGACAACCACACATTGCTGTTTCTCTCCCTCTCTTTCTCCTTCCCTTCCCCTCTGTCTTAGAAGAAATAAAATCTTAAGAAAGAAAAGAGAAGAAAAGAAAAGAAACCACATCTATCCAGACTGGTAGGAGAGTCAGGGATAGGAAATGGGCTGGTCCCACACCCATGTATGGTGGATAAAAACCCAAGAGGGAAAACTCAAGAGCAAAGAGTTCCAGCACCATACTAGGCCCCCCAGCCCCGGATTCCAATGCCAGGAAGAGAAGTCCCCATAATTTCTGCCTGGAAAAACCAGCAAGGAGTTAGTGGAAGAAACTTCTAGAGTCCCAAGAAGATCCCTTTGAAGAAACCACACATGGACTTATTCAGATTCACTTCCTTTGAGCTCCAGCACCAGGTAGCAGCTTAAAAGGCACCAGTGGCATATGGGAAGAAACTAAAGTGTCTGATATCAAGGTGAGAGCTGAGGGACAGCTTTTTCCCAGACAGAAAGGTGAGCAGAGGCCATTGTCTTCTTTTCTGAGCCCTACACACAGAGAGCCACAGAGTAGGCAGGCTGGTGCTACATCTGAGACTCCACCAACCTGGCTAACACTGTTTGCGCCACCCTGGAGAATCTTAAGACTCTGTCCCACCCAACTTACAGGTCCACCCAAACTGTTAAACCTTGACTTTTTCATATGAATGGCTGGTCTTGGCTCATGCTTCACAACTTCCTAAATCCTATCAAATAAGCAACAGCTGGCCTCAGTAAGCTCCCAGTCCTGTATCTCTTGCTAAGTGGCCCCAGGCCCAGTACTAGCAGTAACCAGCCTATATTCACAACTTGGCTTTGCCTGAGAATCCCTAAACCCAACACAAGAAGCAGCCATCTCAGATTGCTTTATAGCTCAGGCAGAGTAGCGCCTCAGCAGAACACAGATTGAGCTGACTTTGGCCTGAACCACCCAGTAAACCCCAGAGCCTATACATCCAGGGGACAGTTACAGACCATGTTGAAGAACCACCACAGATGGCAGAGGCTTGTGGTCAGTGGTTACAACCAGTCCTTGCTGGGGACATCAGGGGACAGATGAGAGGGAGAAAGGAAGGAGAGAGAAAAAGAAACATCAATATATGGTTGCATCTCATGTGTCTCCTGCTGGGAACTGGTCTGCAACCCAGGCATGTGCCCTGACTGGGAATCAAACTGTGACCCTTTGGTTCACAGGCCCATGCTCAATCCACTGAGCCACACCAGCCAGGGCAAGCTTTTGAGATAAATGGCTTATCTTTACTTTAAGCAAGGCTTGTCCATTGTTTTTGTTTATCTAGGTTAACATATCTTTTTATTTTTTAGTTTTGAGAGTAAGTTTATTAAAGCTGGGAACAGTGAAACAAGGAAGGGCTTAGGATAGAAGAAGCAACAGGAGAGAGCCTAGGTGGGGCTGCTTTGGCTCCCTGGAAAGTGAGAGAAAAGGATGTCCTTGGGCTAGGTTGAGGAGGTTAGTGCGGGATGACCTGCCACTGTCTGTTTACTCCCCTGGTTTCACGTCCCTGAGGTAGGGTTTATGAGATGCACACCTATGAAGAAAGAAGAGTAGGAAGGGAAAGGCAAGGCATGCTCCTGGGAGGAAGAGTCCCCTTGGTTAACAAACATTTGAAATAAAAATGAATCATCCTCAAGAAAGCACATAATGCTATTAACTACCAGTAAACCAATCCCACCTTGCTTTCTTTCACCCTCATGTAATCTTCCTTATGTTCCCTCATTCATTTCAAATGCATAAAAGAAACTGCAGAACTGTCATAAGTTGGGGCTCCAATAAACTCATAAAAATTCTCTACAGGTTTGGATGCTCCTATGTTGACAAATGCAATTCTCTTAATTTTTAAAATTTTTTTATTTGAGAGAGGCATCAATTTGTTGATCCACTTATTCATGTAGGTATTGGTTGATTTTTTTAAGAAAAAAGATAGATTTATTTATTTATTTATTTATTTATTTATTTAAAGAGTGAGGAATTGAAAAAGAGGAAGACAAACATCGATGTGAGAAACACCATTTGGTTGCCTCCCATATGCACTCCTACCAGGGACCAAACCTGAACCCAGGCATGTACCCTGACCGGGAATCAAACCAGCAACATTTTGCTCTGTGGGATGATGCCCAATCAATCAATTGAGCCACACAAGTCAAGATGGTGGTTGCTTCTTCATCTTTTTTTTTTTTAAGATTTGATTCATTCATCCTTAGAGAGCGGGGAAGGGAGAAAGAGAGAAACATCCATGTAGGAGTGGGAGAGATACATCAGTCTGTTCCCTCTCACATGCCCCCACCTAGGGACCTGGCCCCACAACCCAGACACGTGCCCTGACTGGGAATTGAACATGCAACCCTTTGGTTTGCAGGTCAGCATGAAATCCACTGAGCCACACCAGCCTGGGCAGGACATTGGTTGATTCTTGAATGTGCCCTGATCAGGGATCAAATCCACAACCTTGGGGTATTAGAACAATGGTCTAACCAACTGAACCACCCTTCCAGGGCATAATTGGTTTACTTTAGGAGCCTAGACAGCAGAGACATAAAAACACAAACTAAGTTAAGGCAACTTACACTAAATGTGACAAAACTAGATTGCTTTAGATAAGGTAGTAGGTGTGGGGGAGACTTCTCTGAGCAAATATTTAAGTTCAAACCTAAAGAAAACAGGAGCCAGCCAAAAGTGAATTGGGAAGGAGGAGGAGAAGGTAAGAGCTCTTTTAGGCAAAGGAAACAGCAAGTGCAAAGTCCTAAGAAAGGAAACAGCTTGGCAGGATCCTCTAGGGACTGACCAAAGGCCAGAATGAAGAGGATGCCAAGTCGAATCAATAGAGAGAGGACAGCTCACAGGTCACAAACTCAAATGCACAAGTGGGATGACAATATAAATGGAAACTGGTGAGGTATAAGTGCTTACCCAAATAACTGGAGCTGTGGAAGTCCAGTACATCCTCCTCCGTCTACAGAGCCACACATCCTTGTTGCCCATGTCTGCCAGATCTTCTATTTAAGAGACAGAAATCTGAATTTTTAAGGTGTCACCTCCTGATTTTTAAACCTTTGTCAAATTTGTTAAAACCCTGTGAGCCAAACAAAACACAGCATGTCTAATGTAGTCCAAAGGTGAATTTTTAAAGATTTTATTTATTTATTTTTAGAGAGAGGGGAAGGGAAGGAGAAAGAGAGAAACATAGATGTGCAAGAGATACAGTGATCCCCTAACTGGGGACTCAGCCCACAACCCAGGCATGTACCCTGACTGGGAATCAAACCGTCTTTCAGTCTGTAGGCAGGCACTCAATCCACAGAGCAACACCAGCCAGGTCAAAGGCACGTGAATTTTTAAGTGCAAATGGATCACTTTTGAGAGACTTTGAGCTATGACAAGATCTGATTTGTGTTATAATAAGATCATTAAAGCATATAGGCTTGAAATTAAGATCTGAGAAGTATTAAGCTCAAGACTACCTCTCCCTGACAAGCTGTAAATTTCTCCAAGCCAGGATTTTGACCCATTCATGTTTGTTCCTACAATATGCTCAATAGACCCCAGCCACCTCTCTTCCTTGCATCAGAGCTGAGCATCCAGCCAGCTACCTTCTCCTCTGAAACCTATTTTCTCCCTTCTTGTTGGGAGTTCTGTTTACTTCAAGCTTGGTTGCTAAGAGGGAAATCCATTCTTCAGGTTCTCTCATTGTGCTATCACCAAAGACAGCTATGTATGTATGTATGTATGTATGTACAAATACATGCTTTTTATATCCCAGGTTCTATTGCAAATCACTGGGGAAACAGAAAACAGATCAAAATAACTTGCCCCAAGAAGTTACAAAGGTTCAGAATTTAGTTGTTAATTCTGACCCGACTCTGGTTCAGACAGTAACTGGGTGCAGCCTAAGGCCTCTAAAATTGGGCTTTTACTCTTTAATAGGAGGCTTTGCAAAACTCAGCCCTTCTTTTGAGTTTTTCTGCACTGTTCCCTCCATTTTAGGGGATTTAACTTCACCATGGTGAGACTTTTCAAACAGTAGTTATACCAACATCTCAGGAAGGTAACTTGCATTTCTTAATTATGTTGCCTTGGGCACATGACAACCTCTCATCTTTTCCTAATCTCTAAAATGCTAGTAACAACACGTTCTTCTTAACGGTTATGATATTAAAATAAGATAAAGTGTGTAAAGTGAGTGGCACATACATTGGCAAATGTTTGATTCAGTCCCACTCAACAATGTTCCCCTGTAGGCGACATTCCTCACGAAGTTTGGGAAGAATATTTCTGTAGTTCTCTATTCAGTTTTTATTATTTTTTTTCTTTTTTAGTATTTGCTCTAGCACACACTTAGCCATCCACAAAAGCGACTTGAGTAAAAACTGGCCGCGAAGGAGTGCCCCACTCCATCATGAACATCCTTTCAGAAAATGGTGCTTTGGGCCTTGGGTTCCTGGGCAGTTGTACCTTTCAGAACCCCCACGGAACTCTCACATCCTGCCTGCTCCAAATGGTTCATTTACGTAACTACGGCCAACCTAAAATTTTGGTCGTTATACCATAATGCACTCTTCCCCCCTTCTCAACTGCAGGAGAAAAGGGAGTCGGTTAGTTTTAGAACAAGCAGCGATTGGCCTGAAAAATCCCGCCTCCTTTCTCAGAAAAGCCTATCAGCGTTGCTCTTTCTTTGAGCGGCAGCTCTTTAGGAGCCAATAAGTTCTGCTCTCTCAAAGGAACCCGCCCTTCCCTTGTGTTGTTGCTCGGCCTCTTGTCGAAGAGAATGAGGACCAAAGCCTCCCTACCTCCAGCCTAGAGGCGGGTGTTTGCGTCGAAACGTGACCTAGCCCCGACCTTAAAGGGGAGGGAGAAGAGGGGGCCGGGCAGGGGCCCTTAAAGTGAGACTTGCTGGTGCCTGCCCCTTTAAGGGCGGGGCGTCCGGACAACTGAATCCCAACCTCAGATTACCCGGAGTTTCCGTCGCAGGCTGAGAGGAGAGCCTCTTCGGCTGGGTCCGGGTGTTTGGCGGCGGCGGCTTTATCCCCGCTCGTCCTCCCCGGGCCCGGAGACACCCCCGCCTCAGTCATGCTGAGCAGAGTATGGAAGCAGCTGACTACGAAGTGCTGTCTGAGCGGGAGCAGCTATTCCACGAGCGGGTCCGTGAATGCATTGTGAGTGCGGGACCCGGGCAGGAACGCTAGGACCAAAGGGAGGAGAAGGACGAGTGTCGTGGGAGAGGTTCAGGTCAGAGTACGACTACCTGGGCTCAGAGCGCCTTCAGACTCTGCCTGGACCAGGGCCCTTTGTTGCTACAAAGGGCCCTGGCCCTACCGAAGGACCGGTGCCCCAGCTGGTGAACCACTAGGTGGGATCAGCTGGGTAGCTGCGCGGTAAACAAAGCCTGTGGGTTTCCGTCCCTCCCCTCTACACGCCCCTCCCGCTCCCTCCCTTCTGTCCCCACCACCTCCCTGGTTGTTCTGAGTCCTTCGGGATCTGAGAGTCTGGTGAGTCTGCCCATCTTAGTTCGAGAGGGATGGGTTTAAGAGAGGGCTTATTTGCATATACTCCCCTCCCCCAACCTCAACTGATGTTTGCTGAAGGGGGCCTTTGGTGGGGCTCCCCCTTTGGAAGAAGGAACTCTTGTTGGGGTGGATTTTACTAAGTAGAGATGGAGAACAACTAAAGTCCCCCCAACCCCATCACCACCCCTTTATTGTTATTTGTTAGGAACCCTGCGAGGCCAGGTTTCTAGCTAGCTACCCGGCCATTTAGGGATTTCCCCTGTACAGTGGCTCCTCTCAGTGCTCTAGAGGGCACCTGGCTTCCTTCCTCACTCTCTGACTGCCCCCTAGAGAGTCAGCGGACCTGCCACAGCGACGGGATTCCTCGGTTCTGGGCAGTGGGCACCCAGGGGCGCTTAGGAAGTCGAATCTTCCTCAGGCCTGTTTTGAACTCTTAACCTCTCCACAGTCCTCTCTCCTTTCTCCTAAGTCTTCCTCCGGAGCTTTCCATGGTAGCCCTCTCTTCCATATACTTAGTGGAAAGGAAAAGGGAACAGTTTGGAAGAGTAGAAGTGTTACTGAGCGGGCTCATCCTTGGTTTTCCCCGGCTGGGCTCTGTTCTGCCCTGGGCAGCCTCGGATTGGAGGAGGGATAAAGTGAGCCAGGACTTAACTGGATCTGTCCTTATCTGTGAGGACTGAAAAGTAGGAAGTCTATCAGTCCAAGTGTAAAATGCCTTATCTACTTTCAGGACGCCTTTCTTACATGTCCCTTAATGAGTAGTCCCACATGGTGAGGTTGGGCATATCATAGAGGTTTGCCCAGGCCTTGAGACACTATATGGCCAGAGGCCCACATTCTTAGAGAACAGGGAGGGATGAGACCTTGGACAGAGAAGCAGTCCTGGTTGTCTCCCCCATCTTTAGTCCCATTACTGAGGACATCAATGCTGGCCAAGGGCAGCTTGAACGCTTCTGGTAGCTCCTCCACCTGACTCCCATTCCCTGTTCTAAAGAATGAACTAGCCTCTGCTGGAACTGGGTGGAACTTCAGCCTGACCTTTTGAGCCCTCCTGCCTTCCTGGCTATTACGCAAGCCAAGGGCACAGCACTAGGCTATAAAAATTCTACAGTTACTATCTGAGTGGCTCATTCTACTCTACTTCCCTAATGTCAAAAGCTACAGCTTTGTCCTAGACCCATGGCTCTCCTGGGGTCTCTCTGACTTCTTCCCTCTCTGGTTAGCTATGTGCAGAGTTTCTGTGAGGACTGGAGAACCCACAAGACTGATCCTGTCTTAGACTACTTCAGATGCAATACTTTCTCTTCTTAAGACTCCCTGATTGTGAAGCCAAACTGAGCAGTAGCCTCTCCCCTTAGAGATAGCGGCTTACCTGGGGTAGGGTAGGGAGGCGTGCATGTGCAGAGTATCCTGGCCAAGTCCTGACTTAACTGTCAGTTGGAGGTCCAGTCACCTAGAGGCAAAGGACAGGCCTTGAGAGGCCGGACCCTAGAGATGGGAAGTCACTTGAGGTAGGAACCAGGGATTGACAGCCTTTAAAGGGGCTGATGCTGACTCTAGAGACTTTGTAGATGTTGGGTCCAACTAAGTTTTCCTCTTAAGGGCAGAGTGTTAAATGAGGCTCCGGTTTGACCCAGAGCAGACCTGATCTTTCAAGGTCCCTGGAGAAACACTGTAGAAGTTTTGACTTGATCTAATAATATGATTCCTACTTACTCTCTGCTGGAGCTTGGGTCAAGGTGGCAGTGGGGGAGGAGGTGAAATGTGGGAGGAGTGAAGTGTCAGGACAATGCAGATATCCCTTCTCCCCCATCCAGTCATGTGCTAGAACCCTCTGGTTCTGTGGCCTGTTTCAGGTATGGATTTATGTGCATCTTTAGTTTTTTTCTGCCCATTTATCAACCAGTGTTCAGCCATTGCTATTTTATCCCAGGAATACCCTTGTGGTGGCTGTCCCTTGCTGTTTCCCCAGGCGCATGGGACAGCCCCTGTCTGTGGCTTCTTAGAGGCCCCTGAGGCCCTGACTAGAGGAAGTACCAGGGAGAAAGATGGAAACCCTGGAAATATGGAGACTTTTTGAAGAGGAATTGATCCCATAGAGTTAACAGAGAGGCCACTGGGGCTGTGGATGTGCTGGGGGTTAGAATTTCTCATCCCAGCTCACGCTCTGCCACAGATCTCAACACTTCTGTTTGCGACACTCTATATCCTCTGCCACATCGCCCTGACTCGCTTCAAGAAGCCTGCCGAGTTCACCACAGGTACCTGTGATTTCCCTCCCTTCTGCCTACCCTCTGCCAGTGTTCCCGTTGCCATGGGGCCAGCCTCAGGAGAATGGGCCGGTAGTGCCTGCTGGGAAGGGAAAGGTGGCTGTTCTGGATCCTGTGCCTCTTCTGCCTCCCTGTCTCCGCAGGGGAGCGCAGTGTGGTATAGTGGAAAGTCTAGATAGAAGTGTCCATAACTGAAAAAGCCACTTGGCAAGTCCTGTAACTTTTCTGACTCTCAGTTTCACCCTCTACAAAGTGGGCCTAATAATCCCTACACAGTGCATTGTCATTGTGTGGACCAAACAAGCTGGTTAATATAAAAGCCCTCTGTAAACCTGAAGTGGGCAACTGCAAGGCGAATGTTATGGCGGGCACAAGCTCTGTCACCACCTCTCCTAGTACTCCCAGATCCAGGACCAGAGACCTCTTTGACCACTGGGACCCCAGGACCTGGTGGTGGTGGCCTTTCTCTAGATCCAAAGTATGCTCACATTGGAGCTTTCCTTTCTGCAGGCATTGTGTGACTTGTCAGGGGATGGCATATTTGTCCCAGTTCCTGGCCCCAGCCTGTCCTCCCCTCCAGATGGCTTCATGAGCCCCCACCAAGAAGGCAGCTACTCAGTGGAATTCTCCTGGGGACTTTTTCTGTGGATCTCCCTTCCTCCCACTCACTGTGTTTCTCTTTGCTGCACCCAGCCACTGATGTAACCAACCTCACAGACCAGTTGTTTACGATATGTTGAGCTTACAAAGAGGAACCTGTGATAGGAGACGTCATGGGGAGGGAGGGAAGTGAGGGAGTTTCTAGCCTGTACTGTCTCCTGGGACCGCTGCCACCTTGGCCAGAGAACATGTTGTGGGGTTCATAGCATGAGCTCTTCCAGAGCCTCCTGTCCAGCTCTGCCCCCACGAGTGAAGGCCCTTCTTTCGGGGGCAGGAAGGCACACAGGGACACAAATGGTTCCCAGAGCTGCCCACTGATGTCCTGCTTCTTCCCCATGCTTCTGTTTCTTATAGTGGATGATGAAGATGCCACAGTGAACAAGATTGCGTAAGTGTTGCTGCCTGAGCACCTGGCACCAGTAGCCTTTAGAATCTGAGATCTAGTGAGGTTCTGGAGCTGGCGGAGAGAGTGGGGTGTCACAAAGTAAAAAGAGAGTTTCTGCTTCCACACCATTTCTGGCTTCTTCCGGCTTTACTCCAACCTGGGGACGCTTGGAAAAGCTGCTCTTCCTGTCTCCCTGGTTAGTCCAGGAGCTTCTGGGATCCACATGGCCAGGAACTGTCAGCTGGGACCTGAGTCACCAAAAATGGCTTCAGCTTGGCTTCGCCTCCCAGCAGCCATTGGGAAGGGAGTAGGGTAGGATGAAGGCTAATGTAAACAGGGGATGGGGAAGGTGGAGCCCCCCACCCACCAAAGGGAGGGCATGCTTGATTCTTAAAGGGTAGCCCTTGTTCCAGGCTGCTGTTATTCACTAGCAAGTATAAAGAAAAAGTAGAGATGTCCCCTCTGGGTCAACAGATTATAAGAAGGCAACCTTCCCGCCTTGGTTGACCAAATCAATAAAAGTGTCCCTTCTTTTCAATGGATGTCCCTTCTTTTCATAGCCCAGGACACAGACCTTGGCTATGAAGCTGGGTTTTAGCTCCCTTTTCCCTCTCTGTCCTAGTGCCTTGTATAAGGCGTGGCCATACAGGGTGACCCTGCTATTATGTGGGCTGAAGAAGGCAAGCTCAGAAATCCACATCTCTGAGCAAAGAAGCCAGGCCCCAAAGGTTGGCATCATGCCTGGTGCACCCTACAGGCATGTGTGGGAGGATCACATTCTTGGGGACAGTCTGGGCAAGTGAGCCGGCAGGTGACCAGGTTCCCATGAATGCCTGAGATATGCCCATCACATATGTCAAGGCTTCCCTTAAGGTAAGGGCCAGGATGGGGAAGTAGTGGGTAGAGCCCCAGCTGATGGCTCCTTCCCTCTGTCTGTCACTACTATAGTCAGTTCCAGGAGAAACCACAGGTACTCACAGGGATGGACAGGGCTTTTGGGCCCAGGGAAGTGTCAGAGCTAACCAAGGGCACTACCTCTTCTCTGCCCAGGCTCGAGCTCTGCACCTTTACCCTGGCAGTTTCCCTGGGTGCTGTCCTCCTCCTGCCCTTTTCCATCATCAGCAATGAGGTGTTGCTGTCACTGCCTCGGAACTACTACATCCAGTGGCTCAATGGCTCCCTCATCCATGGTACGTGGCTCCTGGTTGCAGCTTGGGGTGG